AAAGAAAAGACATCCAAACACTTCTTTCTCAGAAACAGATCCCTGTTTTCACCTATCTCCAGGACGCTTCCATTCTTGAGAGCAGGTTACTCCTGCTCAAGTCCATCAAACTTTGAGACTGGTTGAATGGAAGAAGACTAAAGTCTCTTGGCCGTTCTCTACCCATGGAAAGAAAAGGGCACTCAGCAAATACTGCTGTGTGATTTGAGGTGCTTCTTTCTTTCCTCCATTTATTGTTTCTTTGCTTTACTTGATATGCCCAGCTGCACACACGCTGGTTTTTTATGAACAGCAGTGCAAGGTGGCTCATTTTGGAGGATTCCAGAGGATCACTATAGGCCACACTATTATTACATAAAGTCAATTAAAGAGCATACATGCACATCCCATTGATTTGATTTAGAACTAACGAAAGCTTCAGTAATGTGCAATTACAAGAAACTTAATGACCCCTTTATATTGAATGCAACTTCTGTGGCACCTAATATGCTATGATGAATTGCTCATTATGTGCAATGTTGGAAAAGCTTCTAAAAAGATTAATAATTGTATAATCGATAGAGAAATTCCGTTTTATTTGGCTTTTTTTAAACTCTGAAATCAGTAAGCCATAGAGATTATGGACCGTCTCTTGCTTCTATTTTCCCTCCTGTACCCTCAGAATTTAAATATTTTTTCTAAAGCTAATCTGTCGCTTTTCCAGCATGTGGAGAAAACCCCTTTCTTACGTTATGTAGAAATGGCGTTTGGCCTGATGCAGATGGCCATGTGAGGTCTTAAAAGTTGGTGTCAGCTGCCCACATAAATCACTAATGTTGAGCTGGGTGCCTGCACGTGGGATGCTTCTTTGACAGGGCATGAAGTCTCCAAGTAGCGGCCTTCAGCACTGGGCTCAGAGCTTTGTGGCATGGTCCAGTCCCACTCCCCCTGTCCCATTCACTGCTGGTGAACCTGGGAAGCTGCCAGCCCTTGGGACCATCAGGTGGGCTTTAACCTTGCTTTTCTCACCATAGGATACTTTGAGAACCTCTTGTCTCAAGTGTTACCCATGCTTCAGTTGGCAACTAGTTGTGAGGTACAGCAAACTTTGACAGATGGGATCAGGAATATGAGAGTAAAAAGACAAAAAAAAGGAAGTTTCGTTTCAGTGATATTCAGGATTTAACACTGCCGGAGATGTCTGGAGGCTAGAAAAATACGCAAACGCTGATTTGCTTAAAATTTGTTTCTAGTCTTGTCATGCTTCAGGGCACGAATCATGAGTTCTGAATGCCGGGGTCTGACAGCACTGTTTCACTGTTGGGCACTAGATTGAAAAGGAGAGCTCTTCACCAGGACCAATTTGCACTATAGTATTGCTTATGACAGGGGCAAATTCCTGTTGTCTATGGCAAAGGGATGCATGGTCTTCCCTACTCCTTCCGGAGTGGTACCCACAAAGCTTCCAGCAGTACTGACCTCAGGTTTTGGCTGCCTTAGGTAATATTTGTGTAATTTGTCTGTTGTGTGGAAATTTTGTGTAAAAAGTAAAATATGTCTGTTTTTTTCCCCTTACAGATGTTCTTAGGAACGTAAACACATCATTTTGGTTAAAATGTGGTTTATTTGTTCATTGCCCAGCCTTATCCTCACACGTGTGTGTATGTGTGTGTAAGATGAGGCTTGCATCATACTGGGGCAGATCCTGCAGCCTCTGCACAGCCCAAATCCCTGTCTGCCCAGGCAAGGTTGGCCTCAGTGAGGGCTGCCTGAAATTCCTCTTGAGTCTCTTTGAGGGCAAATCAGATAGAGTGAAGCCATCCTCAGACTAAGAGTAAAAACAGGCTGAAGTTTAGACTCTAGTATGTTGGAAATCACTGCAGCTCTGCTGATTCCTGTGCTAATTTCTAGCAGCCGGGGAATTCATCCCTAAGTGTTTGCAGAGCAGGAGACGCAGGGCGTTTCCAGAGCTGCATATGGGAGGAATGAAAAAAAAAAAATCGAAACCCAGAAATCTTGGTGTGATAGGATGGGACTCATTTAGTCTGGGCACATATTCAAGAGCCCCAGTTAAATTGCTGCGGCACAGTGCTGTCATCACACTACAAGGAACCTTTCCCATTAGCCCTCCGCAGCGCAGCCGCCCTGGGAGACTTGGAGCTGTTAAACTAAATCAGGCAGAGGGTAGAGCAGGTAGGAGAATGACTCGGTGGTAATGGCTGTCATGCACAACAATGCCTTCCACCGTGCCAAGCTGACGTTCTTATGGGAGGATCATGTTTTATTAAAACCTGCTACTTGTTGTCGCTCACTTGCTCCACTGTCCTATTCACTGTCTCCAAAAATAGCATGCCCTGTGGTAGTGGCTTATTATGATTAAACAGATAAAAATAAGTTTAAGGTTTAAACACATCCAGGACACCTGAGGTAATACAAGATCTGACTTCTTTATGGAACGTGTGAAGTTATATTTTCCACTGCTTCACAGGACTTGTTTTGTTTGGTTTTTAATTCAGTAAGCTTTCATGTGATCTATAGTTTTGCATTACAGTCTGGCACCTCAGAAATTTATATCATTGTTTTCTGATGTTTTGCCTCACTCACAGGACGATACGTACTAGTTTTGGAAAAAGAGTTTCTGTAAGAAAAACCTGGGTTTTTTCTGTGATTTGAGTAACAATTCTATGTTGTTTGTTGCAGCTTTCATGTGTCAAAAAGTAGCGATGCTTATTAATAGTGAGGAAATGATAAAAACTGTAGAATTTTAGTCATGGGATAGTTTATACTAGTAACTTAATTCTTTTAGTCACTGTATGTGCAACTATATTTAGCCATTTTTCCCTTAAAATAAAATCTCTACATGGAGATAAGAAAAAAAATCTTTCCTCCAGTATTTTGGGCTCCTCTGCATTCATTTGCAACTTTGAATTTCTCTTCAGTGATTCTAATATACGGCATTTCCTCTAAAAGAAAGGCATATGAGAGCACAGAAGCCTGATGGATCAAGATATGGCATCACTGCTGGTGGAAAAAATCCGAGGGCAATAATTATAGGCAGCAAAGTGATCGTCATTCTACAAAGCATTACTACAGGTAGTGTGGTGTCAGTGTCAAACTCATACAGTCACTCCAGAGCTATGTGTCCCCAGCTCTCTTCGTGTGCTGAATAGTGACAGCAGAAATTCAGAGCACTTGTGGGTACATCCACGCTGTGTAATGAGCTGTGTGGAGACATCCCTGACCTGGGTGTCGCTGTAATTGTATCCATGTAAGGCTTGACCTGAGCTAGTGGGTTCTGCCAGAAGGCAAAAACAATGAGCCAAACCAAGGCGGGTTTGCTTTCAGGAATGCTACTTGTTTCTGGAGGTTGCTCAGACAGTCCACAGAGGCTGTGGCAGTTCTGGAGGCTGTGACACAGAAGTTGTGCAGTCTGACCAGTGTCAAACACCATTCAAATGAGGTCTCCAGTCATGGCATCGTGCTGCTTGGGCAGTTACAGCCACCTGAAAGACGAAGCGTTGTTGTCCGGACATGGCAGAATCGGAGTGTGATTTACCACAGGTTTTCCACATACGTAGCTTGAAAGGTGCAGCTGCTATTACTTGTATTTTCCACGTCATGTGAACCAGTCAGAGCAGGCTGCTTTTGTTCATTTTCATCAAGAGAGCATTACAGCATCTCAGCCTCTTGTCTTCAGTTCTGCTCCATGTTGGAGGCAGTGGTCCCCAGCAGACACAGGTGGACATGAAGTAACCAGCAAAGATCGGTCAGTCAGCTGTGGATAGAAACTTCATGTGACCCTGCATGCCTGGATGTCTTGGGACATGCCAAGTGGCACTTTCTATTGATAAGGAAACCGAAAACCATCCTCAAGGAGCTGAATTGATGCCATTGCTATTTACAGGGCAACAGAGGCATGTGAATCACAAGGTGTCAGCTCAGTGCAAAACCTCTGAGTGTCCTTTTGCCTAAACTCTTATCACACCTCTCTGTCTATTAAAAAAGAGTGAAGTGCCACAAAGCTCACTTGTGGAAGAGTGCATCATAAAGGGGCACAACAGTAAATACAACCTAGAGTTCCACTCCTCCGTCTCCTTGTGCAAACCTTTCTGGGCTCCTGCTTGGACATGGATTGAAGTCATGGGAACAATGGTCTTTGACTTCCACATCTGTTACAAGACAGCAACTTCACCCAGCCAGAAACTACTTGCAAAGTGAAAAGGGATGGGATATGTTTTCAAACTGATACCATTCACCCACAAAACTGTAGACTCAGCTCTTTGTAATTGTGAGTTTGACCATGGCTCTTAGCTCACTTCTCATTTTTTCAGACTCTTGAGGGACATTCACCTTTAGGAGTATGAAGTCTTCCAAACTCTCTTATTTGTATCCCCAAAAAGCTCCCCAGTTGGGGAAAACCTGTGCATGTGCCCTCTCCCAAGTCCCTGCACCACTGACCTTGTAACTTCTTTACTCTGAGCAGGATCAGTGTCTGAGCTGGAAGGCAGAATTTTGTCTCTGAAGAACAGGTATTTTATTAAAACAGGCGGCCACATTGTTATATTAGTAGTCGGATGCAAGGAAAGCAAAAATCTGCAGAAATTTAAAGTCTTGCCGGTTGATGGAATCCATGTACAGCCACCAAATGTTAAAAATACTACATTTCCTATGAAGTTCACATCTATATATGGAACCCACATTTGTACAGATATATCTGGTTGTCCTGTTCTGTGCAGGAACCCAAACTGGTTCATCGGTAAGACACTGATTTTGCTAATTAGTAAAGCAGAAATTTCCATTGCAAGGGCATTTCAAAGCAAAATTAAATACAAGAGGAAAAAACTTATTAAACTAAAATGTGGGGTAACAGCTCACCACATCCTGCTACTGTGGCATCTGCTGTTTAGCAAAGGAAAGGTTCCTCTTTCAAAAGCCTTGACAGGTAGAGAGGTCACGTGTTACCTGCATTTCTCAGCATTATTATTTTTTTACTTTTCTGTCAGTGGAAAAACTGAACATGACAATGGAAAATACCAGTTGAGAGAAGGCAATGTGGGGAACTGTAGGTGTTAGCTATGAAAGCGACAGTGGCCTCCCCCACCAAAGCCAGCAGAAAAACAGTGAAAAAAAAAATCTGATGACAAAGGCACTGTAAATCATAGTACTCAGCTGTTTGGTCTGATAGGGATCAACCTGGTGCTTTAAGGGAAGTGTTGTGCTTCTCTAGGCATTGAAGATTAAACATCATGCATGCTATCCCAGATCTGCTGCTAATCTGTACGTAGGGTCTGCAACAAGCTGGG